TGTGTGTGTGTGTGTGTGTGTGTGTGTGTGTGTGTGTGTGTGTGTAAAGCAGAGGTCCGAGGCTGAACAGTGGATGACATGCGTGTGCCCGGCCTGCTAACACCGCTGACGACGCGCGCTCTAACCGACCGGCCGCTCTCTCGACATGGCGGATGTTCTGGTAAAGCCCTCTGACTGTTTGTCCTCTGTGTGTCCGTCTGTCCGTGTGCCACACAAACACGTCCTCTTCAGCAGTAATGAGGTCACATCACCATCAGTGAGAGTTGTCCTCGCACCACACAATCGTTTCTTTACGGACTTTGCAGCAGCAGACCAGGGAAGCTGCTGTCATGCTGTAACATGCACGAGAGCTGAAACTGGAGGTTTACGCTCCTCTCGGACCAGAAGCACATAAAGGGTTTTGTCCGTGTTGAGAAGAACAAGGGCACAGGCCGAGCGAGCAGCTGGGCCGTGACAGCTGGGCTGATGTTGTGATGAGCTGTGGGGATTTAGCCTCAGGGATGCGGTCAGGTTGGTTTTCCCGTGAAAGAGAGAAACTTTGACAAGTCGAGACTGGACTGATTCCAGAGATGAACAAGTTCAAGAATGTAAACACTGCTTTTAGCAGCTTTTTCCTCCTTTTCCTGCCTCGGTGGTGTGAAGAGGTGCGTGCAGTCCTCGTGGCAGGGTTAGCTGTGTGTGTGGACGCCAGGTCTGATTCATCAAGTTTCAGAGAGAAACCAAGAACCCCTGTGTGTCACAATACCTCTGATTCTGCTTCCTGCCCCCCACCCTTCGCCGCTTCCTCCTTTACGGGAGTGAAGGCGTGCTGATTGATGGAGGCGTCGTGGCTGTTAGCGAGCGGCTGAAAGGAAGGAGAAAGAAGGACTGGTTTGTCGATCGTTCGCCGCTGAATCGTCCCGTCTCTGGTGAGCTGCTGAATGCTTTCTGTGTGCTGGAGCTTTAGCGTGCTGCCGTGGGCACTCCTGTCACCTTAAAGACGATGGATGCAGGTACGGCGTGAGTCACGCCATGCTGTCCATACTGTTGATTATCGACCGAACTGAAGGTTCGTAACTAAGATTTGGAAAATGATTTCTGATCTGTGGGTGTTCGAGGAAAGGCAAAGGTCTTTAGTGGAAAATGCGTCAACTGTATTTCTCAGTTCCTGAAAAGCTGAACAGTCTGGGAAATGCTGATTTTCGTGTGTTGGCTTATAAACAACAATGAAAGGGCGCAGCAGATTTTCAAGTTGAATATTTGCACGCTGCAGAGGCGGCAGACATTCTGTATTTAAAGAAGAAGTACAGAGAGTAGTTTTAAAATACTCCAGTAAATGTCGAAGTACTAAATAAACTCGGCTCTGAGACAGAGTAAGAAATGAAAGCTCCCCGGAGGACGTCTGACAGCTGCGCACACATAACTCAACCTTGTGGTATAAAATGAGGATATAAACCGACTTGAGATGAGTTTTTGTAATAAAGTCAGTCAGCCTGAATCGCTGAAGCAGAACATGAGCAGCTGCCTACATGTTGGCGCCGGGAGCGGGCCAACAATGACCTGAACTATGCTCAGTCTGCCCAACTGTAAAGAGCAGTAAATGATATCATTTTGATTATAAAGCATGTTCTGTTAGAATAAAGATGTAAAGTTGTGGAGTCACAAATAGGGAAATGTTTAACACATAACTAAGAAATGCTTGTTTTTCACATGTAAGCACAGGCAGTAAGTGCTGGTGTGCGTACACGGCAGCCTCGGTTTGATTTAACGTATAAAACGTTGTCCTGTTGCTGCGCTTACAGAAACGCTGTCTTTGACTTGAAAAACGTTACTTTATGCTCCTCCCACTCCCTGTTTCTCAGCGTGATGCTGACATCCTCGGTGAGGGGTCAGGTCCAAAACAAACCACATTAAGCGCTGACTTCAGTTGTGCCTCTTTCATCATTTGTGCGACGTACCCCGGTGATTCACACACGAGTAGGATTGCCTCATGTGTTACAGTTCACGCTCATATCGGTTAAAAAAATAACTACTCGATTAAAGTACAGCTCCTAAAAGTTCTACAGAAGTATAGTGATAAGGTATTTATACTTTATTTTTCCCACCTGTGCCGGGCTGTGGAGATGTTTCCCATCAGGTTGATTTTATATTCTGAGTGGGGGTAATACAGGCAGGTCTTCCCTCAGAGTGTGTTTGCTCCTGATGTGGTCTTTGGACCCTTAATACCACCTTAACACCATTAGTGGTGCCCGTCTGAGGAGGAAGAGCACTGAAGCCGCTGCTCCCATTTAGTCCTGTATATGATTTTTTAAATCTCTAATATATATGTGAGTAATAATCCATGTTAAAATCAGTCACTACGATAGAACTGAATGGCCCTTTATTGTACATATACAACAGTATGGTGGCTGTGCTGACTGAGCAGCAGTAAAAATCATAGAAATAGTAAAAACATCAGGAGTAAACAGGAAAGTAGTGTTAACAGTCCGAATGGCCCGGGGAAGAAGCTGTTAGTGAGTCTGGAGGTTTTAGTGACCCTGTGTGCAGCCTGTCTGCCCCCCTGAGTGCCAAACACCAGGCAGGAGGAGGCCAGCAGCAGCTCCTGCTCCAGGTCATCCTTATTCTAAGTGCAGCCGCTGCTGGGCCTTCTTTGGTGGTGTTGTGGGTCCGGGTGAGAGCGGGGTGGCCTCAAGCAGAAAGACGTTGAGCTCCTCTGCGAGTTTGAGGCTGCTGTCAGGGGTTGGGGGACTCTGGGCTTTGTAGTTGATGAGGGCTTGCACACCTCTCCGCACCTGATGGGGGTTGCTGTCAGTGAGCAAGCCCTCTGTCTTCCTCCTGTACCTCCTCCCCAGGTTGGCTCTGGCAGTCGTGTATAAAGAACTGTTACGAGTTCGATCAGAGCCTGGACTTCGTCATGGGTGAGGAAAAACCTGGATGGTTGGGTCACTGTCACATTCTCTACACTTAATGTAGAAAAGGACAGACTGAGTGAAGGTTTCCAGGTCCTGCGGTTCGAAGTCTGTCTGTCAGATCAAGAGAACAACATCTGGCCTTGTTTCAATGACCCCGGTGCTTAGAGGAGTTTGTTTCCTGAGAGGAAATGCAGAGATAAGGAGCAGAGAGAGGGGGTCAGATTGTCCCACGTGGGGGGGAGTGTGGCTCTATCCTGTACACATGGTCCAGTGTCCTGTCCCCTCTGCTAGGACAGTTAACATGCTGGAGGAATTTGCAGCATTTCAAAAATGTCGTATTAAAGTCCCAGCAACAACACGGATGTGCTCTGGGGTCTCTGCTTTCTGCTGATGGAAGTTGGAGGTGGATGAGACTTGAGCTAGCGTTGTAAACAATGGTAACTGTGGCTACCGTTAGCCCGTGAGGTAGATCAAAGCACCTGCACTGAATGGACTGTCTGTGATTGTACTGTTGTCCTGAAGCACATGAGCACAGAGCCCACCACCCCTTCCCTTACCAGAGTCTTTGTTGTGGTCCTGGGGGTGTAACGTCTGAAACTCCTCTGAGGAATCAGGGATGTTTGGATGCATCCAGCATGCAGCTACAGTGAGTAGACAGCACTCAGGACAAAGCAGTAAATCTCTGATTGTAGCTCCTTTGTTTTGTTTGTGAGGGATCTGGCGTTGCTGAGGAAGATTGCGTTAATGTTTTCACAGCTGGACGCAAGAGCCGCATCTCCACTTCAAACTCTACCTCTCCCTGCACTGTCTTGCTTGCTGTTCCCAACAATAACCTACAGGGGGCCCGGTGATCCCACAATCTCAGGGATACTGGCGTACCAATCCGAAGAAGAGTCCGAGTTCAGGCTGAGGCCGATGCCTGTCAGTTCGTGACACCCGAAAAACATCAGTGCATTTTAGGAAGAAGTGGTGAAAAACACAAAAAGGTCCACAGTATGTGTTTGGTGGTGGAGATAGTTCCACAGGGTTGTGGGTAACACTCGTTCTGTCTACCACCTGAGCTACAGCCACCCCACCCATGGAGCCAGATAACACACACCAATTAGTTAAACTGCAGGAATGTCTTAAAGACATAAAGACCTGGATGGCCGCTAACTTTCTGCTTCTTAATTCAGATCAAACTGAGGTTATTGTACTCGGCCCTGAAAAGCTTAGAAATATGGTATCTAACCAGATTCTTCCTCTGGATGGCATTACCTTGGCCTCCAGTAACACTGTGAGGAACCTTGGAGTCATTTTTGACCAGGATATGTCCTTCAACGCACATATTAAACAAATATGTAAGACTGCGTTCTTCCATTTGTGCATTTGTGTATTTATTACTTGTAAACTTGACTACTGTCATTCATTATTATGGGATGTCCTAAATATTGGCTTTTCTTCATTGGCTCTATAAAGCACCTTGAGGTGACTATTGTTGTGATTTGCTGCTAAAAAACTAAAACTGAATTGAAAAGATTAGAGCTGCTGCTACTAAGAGAGTGTGCCGAAGTCTCCTGTGTGTTTCAAGTCCAGCTGGGAGGAGGTCCCAGGGTGTCCAGGTAAAAACGTGCATACAGACTGTCTTTACTTCTTCCTGTAGCTGCTGCAGAAAGTGTTTGTTTCTTAAACTCTGTTTTATAGGATTCTGTCTGTTTGCTTCTTGGCCTGAAGCCCTTTCAATGCTAACATCCTTGTAGTCTTAAAATGGGCGTGTGGCAGCCTGTTACGCTGTGTGTGTGCGTGCTCTGAGTGCACGTGCATGAGCATAAACATGTGTATATTTCGAAAGGCTTCTCCTAATAAGGAGAGGGGCTGAATCTTGAGTCTGATGCAGTTTGTTGAAGCTGAAAAACCTCAAATGTGTCACCTCAGAACGGTTCGGCTGAGTTAGACACTGCTGACTGTGTTCGAGTGTGAGCGCTCGAAAAGGAAACTAAGCCTGTGTGTCCAACATGTCGGTACAGCTCCTTTCCTTCCTGCCCCAGGCTCAAGTCCACCGGTGCTGTCAGCCTGGTGTCCTGATGAAACATAGAACTGTTCACATTTTTCTCTACAGTCACCATGACTCAAACATTTATTTCTGCATTGATGTCTTTCATTGTTCCATTATCACACTCCATGTCTTCATGTCCTTATAGCTCCAAGTCTGTGTGTCCACACGTCTGCTGTTTAGAAAACACAGTTTGTAAACAGAACAACACTAATCTGTTTTGTCATTAGGAGCTCT